ATGAAAACTTCCACCTCCCCCTCACACTGTCTCTCTCCAGACAACCGCACCAGACCATCATGAAGATCCAGAGAGGAATCTGAGTGAAAGATCTGACATTTTACTAAAATATTGCAAAAGTGTTAAAGACCACAGAGGAACTTTTGCATAATAAACATGCTTTGTATCATTATTACATTTTACATAATTAATTTCAAAACCTAAATCACACAAGCATTTATCTAAAGTCTGAAATGTAAATTTATTGGGAACAAATATTGTATATTGTACAAGATTGAGTCTCTCAGAAACATAATATTAGTAAATCTCACAGTAATATGAACTCACTAGAGCAGATGACTCCAACATCTTGTCTATGTGAACATTCAGCTCGACTCCATGAAGAGATGGAACATTCTGAGAGTTTTGTTTCATTCCCGTCACAATCAAACACATCAGCCCAGATTTCACCACTTCCCTCTCCAAACCAGTCTGATCCCACAACAGACACAGCAATCCCACAATTCAGCTGTTTACAGAGGATACTGGCAGCTCTCATTTCCCAGCATGCATCACACACTGTGCCCCATTTACTGAAGTACTGACGCTCGACTCGACCAGAACAGATGTCAAGACCATTGGCCAGTCTGAGATCAGTGTAACCTGGATAGGAAATTAAAACTTATTTAAACAAGACATAACAGAGTGGTTTAGAGGGAAGAACTGATTGTTTATTTTCAAGCCGTCCGCCATACTGGAAGGTTCAACTTGACTTCATTCACCATAATGATAAATAAATATTCAAAGATGCCACAATCCTTACATATCTATTGTTCCGCCCCTCCCTTACATTCTCGTGTGAAAGGTTATCCCGTTTCTTTGGGAATTTCAATTCTGGCGGTTTTTACAACCTTCGGCTTTGCAGGATTGTGGCATCTTCGAATATTCATTGATTATTATGTTGAATGACATCAAGTTGACCATTGCAAGATGGAGGATGCGTCTACGTGCTTGGAGCTTTCGAAAGAGGCATCTACTATGGTATTACCATTGATAATGCATAACATGCTCATTAGAAATGTTGATAAAACTATTTGATCTTAGTATATTTAGCGATTAAAGTGTTGTATTTGATTTATTTACTGACAGGATAAACAGTGACATTTTACCAGAACATATCAGTCCCACATTGTTGTCTTGAGAGCACTTTATGTCATTTGAAGTTGGACACAATCGAATGGTTGCTTCATCCTCTCTGCACTGAATCTCTTGTGTCCACAGCTGAGTGTCTCCTTTGCCAAAAGTAGCTGCTCCCAGCACCTGTACAGGAGCCCCACAGTCCAGCTCTCTACACACAACCTCTGCATCCTGCTGGTCAAAGGCAGCGGCACACACTGTGTACCATGTGTTCCCATAAAGCACCTCTAACCTCCCGGAGCACAGGTGAGGTCCATCAGCAAGTCTTGTAAATCGTCCATAGTTTATGGTTTCTACATATTTGCATAATACATAAAACAATTTAATTAGAGTCATGGTGAATGAAGCTGTCTTACTGTGACTGTGTTACAAACAAACAACGACTGTGAGTGATTACGTCTATCCTTCAATTGAATATTGCAAATAAAAACCTCGGTCATTTCAGCATTACAATTTCACAATTACTCCTGTTCATTGTTTAAAACTAGCTCAGAAACAAATTGTATACAATTATTGTATATTGCATATTGTGTTAAGAGAAGAAAGGTCGATAAGTGTTTAAACAATGAGCTGCATGAAATCACTTACTTGAGCATCTGACTCCAGCATCATAATTATGACGACCACAGATGTCACTATGTTTACCCCATCCTTTTGATCCACAGTCCTTCAGTGTAGACTCTGATCCTTTACACTTCACGCCATCCATCCAGATTTTTCCTGATCCTGGTCCAAAGTAAGAATATCTTGGTGCTTGTAAAGCCTCTCCACAGCTCAGTTCTCTACACACCACTGCAGCATCAGTCATATCCCAGGAAAAATGACACACTGTTCCCCACTGACCTCTATGAAGAACTTCTACTCTACCAGCACAGCGACTGTCACCATTCACCAGTCTCACATTCACACGGTCTGTCCATGAGGGATACGTCATAAAATAAGCATACAACAATAAAATATTAACCATATAGAAGTTATAAGAATAACATGCAACTGCATAATCACATGTAAATCAATACAATATAGAATGTGTAAAAAATATATATATTGAATTTCATCTGTCCCTGAGTATACTTACTAGCAGTGATAAGTGTAACCACTGAAGAAAATAAAATAAGTGTCAGACAGCTTTCCATCCCTTTGTTTGCCCAAAAAACGAATTAATTTAGCACCAAAGTTTCTCCGCTGCTCCCTCAAACACACTGAAGAAATTGGCTCCTGCCAGCCCCCTAAAGAGAGAGAGAGACTCACGGCTGCCAATGACACTCACTGATACCTTATTAGACAGAACAGAGGAAATCATCAAACACAATCAGTGACAAATCAGAGAGCAGCATTTTTATTTTCTCCATATATATCAATAAAGTGTGAGCGCTGATGAGCGGGACTCCTCCTCCAGTGTGAAGAGACACTTCACTGAGGACAGACTCGTGTCAGTCATAAGTCAGAGTGGAGATAAAGTCACACTGAACTTAAAGCAGATTGATACAGAAACACTGCAGCTTATATTCAGCATCAAAACCTGAACCTGAACACAGCAGATACAAGCACTGATGACTGACTTCTGTAAGTCTGAACACTTCAAACACTTACACAAACTTACTAGAACCAATTTCTCATGACTAATCTTAATTCATTTAACATTTTAATCTCACTGTTTCTAGATAAATTAAGCATAATATTACTGTAAGTGAATTTGACTAATTTGTTATTTTATTCTAACAAAGGAAACCATAAAATAGGATTAAACCATAGTATAAACTATATAGTCGCTAAAGTGATTGTTTAGGTTTTTTTTGTTGGTTTGTTTTTTCGTTTTTATTTAATTAAATATTATCTACTTACAATAGGTATACCTTGGAGAATAATAAAATAATAGCAATATTAGTCCAGCAGATGGTAGTAAAACACTTCTTATTGTAAAGACCAGCAGACAAGAGTTGTATTTATTTATTTATACATTTATGTATTATTTATATAAGTATTTATGTCCCATTTAAATAAATGTGAAAATATACAAATATTGATGTAAATACATATATAAATAAAAGTGGAAATAAGTGTATAAATAAATGAAAAAAATACAATATACATACATTATACTTATATAAGGAAATACTTAATAATATTAGCTGTTTTACAATTATTTGTAGATTCATTTATGGATTTATTTATTACTTTTTTAATTTTGTATTTATTTATTTGATCAGTTTCCAGGTCACGGGCTAAAGAACTGAGGAGCGATGAAACAAGAAAGCATCAGTTTGAGTATTGAGAAGCACATTATCTGAACCAGTTGTTTGATAACGACGATCATTTATTTAGTCACTCAGTTTTTGTTTTGAAATACCAATTTACAATATCCAGGAAATAATTTAATATAGTTTTAGAAGTGGTCTGAATAAATAATGTGTAATGATGGCACTTAAAAACTTTAATAGTCATTGGATTTAAGATAAACAATGAAAAGTTAAATAGTCTAATTATTCAGATTAACCATTATTAGATTCAGAACCATAAATAGCTGCACTACATATGAGTAATGCACACATAAATGTGTTGTTCTGATTTATTTATTTATTTGTTATTTATTATATTTTTACTTTTCAGTATTTTTTTTAATGAAAAAAACAGTTACGTGACTAGAGAATTAGCTTTGGTTTATTTTGTCATTTAAAAAAATATACAATATACAAATATTTTATAAAAAACAATAGGCCATAACCCAATACAACAAAAATGCAATAAAAGCAACGAGAAAAGTTTCATTACAAAAAAGGTTTCAAATAACATAAAAGCTAAATATTTCATATAGAAATATTACTCAAACAATTGAGCTTTCAAATGTCTTGATCCAAGGCAGTGCATGTGATTATTGAGTCATACAGACCCCTCCCCTTTGTTTGATTGCTCCCCCACATCATCATAATCTGCTATTAAAAAAACTAAATCTTTAATTATGGTGAATGTTGTGTTTATATGAATATTTAAAATTGAGTATATAAATCTGGAAAAAAATATACAATGAAATATAAAAAAGAATTCAGGATATAATGATAACAAAATGGTTACTAAAACTTGCGTAACAGATTTCTCACATCTTCACTCACACTCATCACATCTTCATACTCCTCATCGACTCCTCATCACAAGAAGGACAAAGTGTTTTATATCTTTTATCTTATTTGATGAATCTATTTTCCTATAAGAGACTTGATTTAAACAAGACAAACAAGGTTCCTCACAAAATTGATTTCGGACGGGCAGAATAATAGTTTAAAGTAGTGATGTTATCAGGCAGCTTTCAGTGAAGCGCGTATCGAGACGTCCGAAGCCTCGCTTTGCTTGGTCAGACTGGTTCAGGAAGCGGCTCGAATCTTGTAAATTCACGGCAACTATGGCACATTGTAACGCTGGGTTGTGTTGAGCACGCGAGCTGTTGGCATTTTGCGAGCACAGAGTGGGGAGCATCAGGTGAGCACGCTAGTGAAACATTGCACGCGCAAAAGAGAAGGTCTGCACACATCCAAAAACGTCTTTTAAATGCAAAATTGATTTCCGTGCGCTCGAAAGACGTTTTTCTTTGCGAAACGAACATTTTCTCCACAAACTCAGATCGCGCGCGTGCAAAATGCACTTTTGTGCGCTCAAAATATGATCTTTCGCGTGCAGAATTGTGGCAGAAATGTAAGCCCATACTGTTGCAGGTCATGAGACCATTAAGTTCCCTTTCATGGGAACTTCGAACTGCGTCCTCTAGGGGTCGCTATGGGGAACGCCTCGTCGTGACCCGTGTCTGAAGCATACATTGAAAAAACACCAACTCGTAAGACGGCGGGACACCTGTCTCACGATCTGCTTTCAGTCCATCAGTGATGACGTCATCATAGTATCCCGGTGTGATTTCCTTCAGCATCTCTTCTGCATCAACACACAACATGTTTGGATACAAAAGCCAAAATATGTTCTTGCTGCAGGTCATGAGACTGAGAATTTATTTTGGTAAAGAATCATGTTATCAGTTAAAAAGGTTTCTGACCTTTTAGGCCACTGCCATTGGTGACATCATCATAATATGCAGTCTTGAACTCTTTTGCTAAAAAAGGAGAACAGACTGTTAATATACAAGTAAACAGCAGCATTTCAATAGTATTGAGTCGTTAATCAAATATAATATGGAATTACTAGTTACAATTATTTATTTAGGTGAATTCATTATAAAGGTTTTTTCAAATGAAATGTGGAATGTATATGCACTTCAGCTCTCTAACCTGAGAGAAGCTCATCAGCATCTTCATACCCAGAATACAGTTCTTCAAAGATGAGACTCCCTGTTAAAGGAGCGCAGAACCGTCAGAAACATGTTCATCATTACAAACAGACTGAATCCTCATTTCCTCTGGATCATAAAGCATTGTGTTAGTGACCAGGGACGTGCAGAGTGTTTCTCGGAGGCAGGGGCTCAAATGTAAAAAAGGGTCATTTATATACAGAGTAATTCCAATTTAATACATGCATAATTATAAAATAAATCCTTTGCATGTTCTTGATTTTGAACTGCTTACACTTCACATAATAGGCCTGTTGGTGGCACTTGGACTTAATTGAACTAACAATGATAGTTTAATCAAATGGTAAATGGTATATCAATATGCACGTAAATAGGAGTAAATTAAACACTGCTTGCAGTGGATATAGAAAAGAATCGCCCCCTTTTAAAAAAATCACATTTTGTTGCTTTGCAGCCTGAAATGTGTAGGCATGTACATACGAATATATGAACCCCTCCTTATTACTCCTAAAAATACATTGGGGGAAAAAAAAGATTTGTTTTTATTTATTCAGAAGTGTATTTTAGCAATGCTTGTCAACAGTATATATATTTATACATATAATACATATAGTAGTAGTATATTAGTAGGGCATTATCCTTTAAAAATAAATAAGACAATAAAGTATATCTATAACCATACACAGTTCATCATACAGGAATGCTAGACCAAGTTTGCAGCTGCACTTGTTTGTGTTTATTAATACTGCAATACCAATCTGCTTCTGTGGGTGGCAGTAAAGGACTATAAGACGATAAACTTCATGAGCCAGACTCGTGTGACTGAGACACGAGCCCCAGTTAAAATACTGTTGTCTGTGCCAGAACAGTTTTACTCATTAATCTTTAACTACAGTATACTGACCAGAGAAACATTTACCCTGACAATACTTCAGGAATTACGTCTTGTTTTCAGTTTACTGTTTAGAATCAAAACTAGCAATTCCCGAATTAATCTTTTGAGTCTCAAACTGAATTGTTCAGTGAATCATTGAACTGAATCATTGGAGCTCACGCAGCAAAACAGTAACTAGTTACTAACATCGAGATACAAAACGAGCGCTCGATGAAGTGGATACTTACCTAATCACCCGAAACGAACCCTGCAACTAAAGGCTACTATCGCTTGTCAGAAATGAAGAAGCTCTTATAATGTTGTGCAGCTTTGAAAGGACAATTTCCAACCAAAAGAATATTAAAAGTACCAAGAAGTATCAGGATATTACCATAGTTACATTTATGACTGCAGCACTTGTGTAGATGAAATTTCTCTGAAGTCACACAACAGGCAACTGTGCTTGTTTTATATTGATGATAAAACATGAGCTACACCGGGGTTCTGTTCTGCTCTTAAGCATTATTAAGTCATAATGTATTGTTAAAGTTATTATAAAGTGATTCATGTGGTTTATAAAGAAGAAATATGTTTTTTAAACATATTATATATGTGATACATTTTTTTTCTATTGTAAAAGTTATTTAATGCATACAAAATAAATGCAAATATTTATTTATTTATTTATTCAGCATTATCCACTGACAAAACTCCAGTACTTGCTGTGAAAATGCTGAGGGCTGTTAAATCACTGATGGTCATTTGGGCTTATTTAGGGATGTCTTCAGTTGTGACCACGGTTTTGCATTAAAATGTAAGATCAGACATTTGACTTCATGGGTTGTGTAATGTCTTATTAAAATACACACAAAAATGTATTGCTATTAACAAGGCCAAAAAACTAAACAATACAACAAACTCTCACAAAGGCATAGAAGTTTTATTAATAAAAAAATGGGGAAACACAAAAACCTGACAAATTTTGGCATATCAATAACAATATCACACAAACTTTGTTGAACAGAGGCAATGGATGAATCTATGTTTGACTCCTCCTCCACATCATCATAATCTGTTAAAAATAATAATAATAATAATGTCAAATGTTGTAATTGGATTAATGTTTTAAAAGTATAAAAAATTGAAAAATATTAAAATTATTAAAACATAAATAAAGATGTTAATAATATATTGAGAACAAAAGGGTTATAATACAGTAACTTACCCAACAGGTTTCTCACATCTTCACTGACACTCATCACATCATCATACTCCTCCTGAACTCTCTCTGATCGAGAATGACAGAAAACAAGTCATATCAGTTTATAAAACACTTCATCTCAATTCAAGGATCCCTTTTCTCTTCAGTGATTTGATTACACAGAATGAATGTCTGATACTCATGCAAAGAATAGGCTTGTTTGAGGTGCGCCTCGCCTTGCCTGAAATGAAGGCGAGAGTAGGCGGCTGCAGTGAGGGGAGGAGTGAAATAAGCAGTGTTGGGGTAACGCATTACAAGTAACGCGAGTTACGTAATCAGATTACTTTTTTCAAGTAACTAGTAAAGTAACGTATTACTTTTTAATTTACAAGAGAATATCTGAGTTACTTTTTTTTTCTCCAATTTATTGATTGACAGCTCTCCTGTCCCCATGTTGAGAGAAATCAGAAGATGTTACTGTAGTTCTAAATAAATATGAATATGCGTTAATTAATCTCACTCACAAAAACAAAAAAAACACAGATTCAGTATTTCTCAAAATGAATAAAAATAATGCAACTCAGAATATGACACGAACCTGCAATAATTAAATGTTAAACAACACAAATATCCTTTATGTATTTAATCCCATTCTAT